CCCAGCATCCTTGCTGTTCCTCTGCAGGCCAGGAATGCTCTCATCTTTGGGACATGCTGGGTCCTCTGCGGAGTGTTATTCCCCAGACTGCCCCTTGGCTAATTGACTCACGCCCTTCATTTAAAAGTCACCTTATCAGTGACCTTATCTAAAATTAATCACCAAGACCATCCAACGTTTCCCACCCCTCTTCACTATATTTTTCTCCTGAGACTTATCACTAACATACTATCTTCCCCCAGTAAAATGCAAGCTCGCCAAGGGCAAGAATTTTCATGTTTTATTCTCTACTGTATTTCAGTGCCTGCGACAACGCACAGGGAATTCAACAAGAATTCAATAAATATATATGAATGAATACATGCTTATAGAATTAGTATAAAACAATGTTTTTTTTTTTTTTTTTTTAGAGTCTAGTTCATTGGCATTCTAGGAAGGCATGTAGCTCCAAGTATCCCCTGGTATACAACCAATGCCCTCAATGGCGCATCTACTCCAGCTGCAGGGGAATAGGCCTAGGGTAAAGCCCACCTCCTTCCCGTGGAATAAGAGACCTTGCTCTACTCTGTTAGACTCGCTCATGCCACTGCCCCTCACACCCAGACAATTCAGTTACGCCATGCCCTCTGCCTAGAACATCTACTGATTCCAATTTTTCCTCCAGAGAGCACTGATTCCACACTTAAAATCCAGTTTCCCTTTCACCTCCTCTTCTGTGTCTTCCCAACTCTCACTGGGTGGTTAATTTCTTCCTCAATAGCCCAGCTCCAATCTGCAAGTAGTTCTATTATAACTAAGTTTATAGCAGTCTCCTCCATTGACTCTGAAGGAGAGCATACCTTAAGAGAAGCCATGTTTTCCCCCATCAATTTACTTGGCTCAATACCCAGCACAAAGGTCAACACACTGGAAGTGCTCAATAAATGTCACTGAATGAAGCAGTAAGAACAAAATTGAGAAGAGGGAACAGTGCAGAGAATATAATCCCCTCAACTGGAAGACTCCAAAGATCTAGACCTGAGGCCACCACATGACCTTGTGAAATGTGTCAGTTTCTTCACCCAAAAAGTGGATAGAATACCTTCCCCACCTACCTCACAGGGGCGTAGAGCTCAAACGATAAAACAAAAGTCAAATCTCCCATAAGATGTTTTTATTATCAATGTATAGATCATAGATTTTTGCCCCGTTTTTTAATCTCAGAATTGACTCAGCAAACATGGAAATAACTAGATTAAAACCAGGTATATCTAATATAACCATGCCTCTACTTGTTTATGACATTCAAACAGGATAAAAGCAGGAAGTGTTGTCCAGAAAGAATATTAAAATCCAGGTTATATACTCTCCATATATATGGAGAGAGAGATATGTTATATAATGTAAATCACGATGTACAGAGGACAATAATTTGATATTTATTACACTCTCATATACGGAATATTAGGTAACTTGACAGCAAACTTTAATGTTTATTAAATTTTTTTAGAGGCAGTAAATATAGGAGCTAAAATCATAAGCTCTGGAGTCTGTCCATTTAGCTTTGAATAACAGTGCACTCTACCTTTTAGAAAATTAGCTCTTGGAAAATTAGCTCCCTCTGACTCAAAGTTTCCACCTAAGTTAAATATAGATAATAAGGCACATACCTCATAGGGTTGTTTAAGAGAATTAAAGGAGCTAATACATGGAAAGGGTTAAAATAGTGCCTCGCACACAGTAAGTGCTCATTAAAATTTGGCTATTGTTAATGGTATTCATGACTCTTGAAACTTAAAAATGTTTCCATATATTTTTCTGTACTGGCATCACACTAACAAATGTAATGGAAGTTGAAAAGTCAAAGTTTTCAAAATATTTCATCCCAGAAAAGTTCTCTTTGTCTTGATATCTCTGCCACCACCTCAATCTTGCCTTAGAGGGTCTTTGTCAAAAACAGCACTTAGGGACTTCCCTGGCGGTCCAGTGGTTAAGACTCCATGCTCCCAAAGCAGGGGGCCCGGGTTCAATCCCTGGTCAGGGAACTAGATCCCGTGTGCCGCAACTAAGAGCCCACATGCCGCAACAAAGATCCCGCGTGCCGCAACTAAGACCGGTGCAACCAAATAAATAAATAAATATTTTTAAAAAACAAACAGCACTTAGATGGAACACACACGATGCGACTCGATAGCAGAAAAGGAAGTTGCTCTCATGTGCCTTAACGCTCCATTTCCCAATCTCCCCCCCGCCCCGCACCCCGCCCACCCTGCCCCCAAGCCTAGGCTACCCTGTGATACAACCACAGCATGGAATGAGGTTACCATCACCCACCCAGAGGGGTAATTAATAACTGGAGGCCAGATTAGGTTAACTGTACCTGATGTTGGCCTTACTGCCTGGCTACCCACTTCCTCCTCTTTGCCCACTATTCACAAAAGGAATCCAGAATTCCTTCTCCACCAACACGAGGGCTGAACTTCTAACTTCTCCAACTGTTTTCCCCTCAGCACTGAAAGCCCTGGAAGAGTGGAGACTCCTAGGAATAAAGCCAGACCAAGATTCTGAAGACCTGAACTCTCATCCTAAAGATACTATCTGGGGTAAATCATTCGGTTTCTTAGCCTCCTAATCCTTAATGCTGCGATATTTCTGCCTAATATACCCGCTCATGAGGTTTTAAGGGAAGATTAAAAGGGAAAATAAACACGGGAAAAACACTTGGAAATTTATGAGAACTATACAAATGAAATGTAATTCTAATATATGATTCCTGGCTCATTTGCTTTCCTCCCTATTTAGACACTGACTTTGATCCTTGGAGCCATGCCATTATAAAGATTTCTTTTACAAGAAGAAATTATGTTCAAAGAGAAAAAAATAATTTATTAAAACCATAGGGTTATAAAGGTGAGTGATATGACAATAAATAACAGGCAAACCTCTGCGTTTAAAAACACCCAATAAGCACCAAAATCCTTAAGATGTTTTAAGAAGATGCTCAATCAGCAATGAATATTAATAAAGCTAAAATGGATTGCCTGTGTAGAGCAAAAAGAAAAATAATTAGGTCATATATTGAGCTCCGTTTGTTCATTCCAAAAACAATGTAGCATTTTTTTCCTGCCCAAGACAAACAACCTCACTTGAGAAGGTAAGTATGCAATTACCTGAATCAGATGCTTCCACCCAATTAAGAGATAAGCAGAGAAGGAAAAATAACAACAACAGCAAATAAACCTAACACGTCTTGAGTGCCTAAATGCCTTCCACGGATTATCTCTTTACTCCTTACAGCAACCTTACTTGATAGGTATTCTTCCCTCATTCTAGCTAGACCTAAAGCTTAGAGAGGAAAATTACTTGTTCAAGATGACACCTCTAGGAAAGTACTCAAATGGAATTTAAAACGTCCTATCGAATCCCACAGGTTAGGCTTTTACCACGATTCCATGCTCCCTCCACCAAAATAACATAGAGCTCTTCTTCTAAAACCCAAGGGAAGTGGGGATTCTTTAAAGACTTTTAGTACCTCTAAGGATGATGGGCACAAATCAAGAGTGAAGTGGAAGTGATCTTATGCAGGAACAGACAATGGGGTGGCTGGACTGATGATATTATTTGGCAGGTTCACTGTCAGTACTGAAAATGGCACCATCATCTACAAATAGTAGGGAATTCAGTATCTAATTATCTGAAGAACCTTTCCAAAATTTAAGTCAAATAGGTGAGATGCAGAAATGTCTGAATGTGGTAGGAGCTAAATGAGGATCAGAGAATACTAGCTTTGATAGCTTTCAATAAGACTTGAACTAGAACTTGCTTGTGTATTCTATAAATAGAGAGGGCTATGGAGGACAGAGGTAGCATTTGGGGATCCATGGCAAGAGGGACTAAAAGAGGAAAGGTCGTAGAACAAGAAACTGGATAAAAATCAATAATAATTTCTTCCCACAATCGACTATTCCAACTCACTCAAATGATGTAAAACCAAACATAAGATGAGGAAGAAACTGCTCCGTTGATGGCTCACAGATTGTTTTCAATCCCATTTGACATAAATCTGGTAAGAAAAATAGGCTCTATAGGAAAATGAATATATGTACAATTAAAATGTTTCCACCAGTCAGATCTCTCCTTGAAAGAAAATTCTAGGGCTTTCTTCTTGACGAAGATTCTTGGTTGGACCAATGATTTGTTTTAAACAAAAGAAATCTACAACAAAAATATAGCCATCTCCAAGGAGCCTAACTGAAATTTTTAAGTCATTCTGGGATTAAATTTTTTTTTAATGTTTTTCCATAAGGGTACTGTTCTGCTATTAGAGAGAACAGTATTATTCAATTAAAACTAAATTAGTTTTTATTCAAAAACTCCATTTTTCTGTGTTACTAGTAAATTGCTTTTAGCTGGGGTTTAGAGAAGCAATGATTAATCACTTCTCCCCAGACACCTAAAAAAGGCAGTTATCAGAGTTATGCTTTGGCTAGATTAAAGAAGTGAGCTATGGCTTGTTAGCCATGAGACGTATCCACCACAAACTCATCTTTTCTATCTTATAATAGCCATTGCCATGATTACCGCACTTTTCCACCTTATATTTTCCCCTCATTTGCCACAGCAAAGTTTCTCAGTCGGCAGTGGTCCTCTAACCCTGAGGGCCTCCAGCAAGGTAATCCTGTGTTCACAGAACTGTCCACTGGCAGTTCTAAGACAAGGCAAAGGAAAAGAAAGAAGGGTGACAACAGGACAGAAACAGAGAAACACAAGAGCAGAAGAGGATGAGAAGCAGCAGGGAGTGGGAGAAATAAAGAAGAAGAAAAGATGGCAGAAATAAGAAAAGAGGGAGGGAGTGCAATAAAGAGAAAAAGAAACTGTGGCCAAGAGGTCTACACTAAGGAGAAAAGTGGGAGAGGACCCCACAGGCACATAGGAGGACCTAGTACTAAGTTATTGCCTCTTATTCTTACTTGTCTTTGCCCACAGAGGAAACGGAATAACAACTCCTGGGTGCCAGTTACCTGGATGAGTTCGTCCAGCTCAGTCGAATTGACACAGGAGTGCTGGGAAATGAACGTCTGCTTCTGGATCACAATGGTGGTCCTCTGGGAAATCTCGTGAGGCTGCTCCAACGCTTTGAACACTGTGGCTCCGATGATCAGATAGAGGACGACCACCAGGAAAATCGTGGAGACCGTCTTCCATTTCATAACATTAATGGTCGTGTCAGTCTCCACCCGGGAAGCAAGCACGGTGGGTTTCGTGGAGAACGAGAGCCTCGGTTTAGAGTTCTGAGCGGCAGATTTAGGATCCAGCAAGTCAGGGGCCGCCACTGCCAACAATAGAGAATGGAGGTTAGGTTGAAGGAGGTTAGAGGGGGATGGCTCGGCTTCTTTCAAGGGTCAGCAAAGGTGGACTGAACTTGCTCTCCTGGTGGAAGCTCCAGAGCCTAAACCAGAAGTATATAAGGGTTCAAGGAAAAGGGGCTGGGTCTTAGCTCTCTGCTGCTATTGGGGTTTCCGATGGGAGGAAAAAAACAGGAAGCGGACTAAGAACCTTTAAAAAAAAAAGAATGCCTGAGGACTTCCTAATTAATTTCAAAATTTATATCTGTCCAACGTGCTAGTCAACACATTTACAGAACTCCTAAGAGTTGATGGTACTAAGCTAGATATTTGAGTGCTCATAAAGAAGGCTAATGGATTATTCCTGTTCTCAAGAACTTAACACTCTATACCACAAGCCATCAGTGTAAATATTATAATTTATTTAAAAATTCATTATAATAAAGGAATTGTATTGTAAGTGAATTTGCGATCCAAACATTGTTGCTCAAAGTAGAACGTTAGTAATTATCTGGTAAAACATGATGGCAAATAAACCACTCAGTAGCTCAATCATTTCTTTTTGCTGTCCTCCAAAGTGGGCTCATGATTAATCATTGTCTGTATTTTGTTATTCAATCTTGGACATCTTTAAAAAAAACAAAAGTATTGCTACCCATTCTGGCACACAATCATAGGTGCAGCCAAGAGATGACAAGTTCCTTCCATTTCAACAGTGAACATTATCAAGAAAAAAAATTAAAAACATTGTCTCACACCTTAGACCCTACATGCTCTGTACAGAGCTAATTGCTCCATTAGAGTGGATTTATGTATTCTCTTACAAATTCCCATATATTCTGAGGTGACTCTAAATCCATTTATTATTCATCTCAGCTGTTCAAAAATATCATTAATGGATTTCCTTTAGAAAATTCAAGAGATACTAGACTTCCACTTGCTAAGGGGAAAATAAGCCATCTACTACAGAATTGGAAAGGCAACACTGAACCAAAAGGGGTAACAGAATGGCTGAAAGATGGGAGATTTAAAAAAACTCAACCATAATAATCAATTTAACATACATAATTGTTAGAGATATAAGTAAAATTACTTTAGTGTATATAATACAGGTTTAATAAAATGATAACCTAATCTAAAAGACACTTTTAAGTAAGTATATAAGAAATAATCTATGAAATTGCACCCAAATACCCTACAGGAACCTGAAATTACTCGAAAATAAGAAGTGTCGATTTTCACATGGCTACATACCTTGCCCTCTTGACTACCACTGTGAGTTAAATGTAGGACTACCACAGCTGGAGTTCATAAAATAAATCATCTGTTGCCCATCGGAAAGAAGCTTTGCAAGCAAAGCTATGTGAAGCACCAGACCTAAGTAAGCAGTATTGTATAATGACGACAGATAACAGAGGGCTCCTCAATCAGCAAAACTCTGAATGGTTCTGACTTTGAGGAGAAGTCGGAGCTCTGATGACTTAACTGTACCCCTGTCTCCAAGCGGAGATTCCACATACCTACAGCTCATTTCAGCAATTTCCAATGGTTCAACCTGCTATAACAAGGATGTACACATTTTCCTCCTGATACAGTCAGCTGCTCCAAATAAAGCCACAAACTAGCAGACGCCTTTCACATGTGATATTCATAAAGGCAACTTCACCCAAAATCAGCACTGGATACATGTTTAATGTTTTAATTTTCTGAAACATTTTAACAGAAATGTTGATAACAGCTAAAATCACTGTCATCTGCTGTCTAGCCACTCCACCCCACCTGCAAGCTGCGTAGTGAGTCTCAGTGAAAAATAAAGGTCATAATCTAAAATTAAGCCATCTTTGGAATTAAAATAACAGAAAATCACACAGAAGCTCCATATTATCTCTCTGAAGGAAGCTTTCCAAGCGTTCTCTGTGCTCTCATATTTCTGATCTTTCACATCCCTGGTTTCTGGTCTGCGGAACTGGAAAACACCAAGACTGTTTACCTTGATGCTCCCAAATCCTACTCCTAGACTGCAGTGCTAAACTAAGGTATTATTGATATAACATGCTTTGGGGGAAAGGGGACAGGTTTTTTTTTTTTTTTTAAGATTGTGGCTGTATGTTATTAAGCTAATACATTTCCTGATGGATTTTAATTCTTTTAAGCTACTGCCTTATTTTTTAATTAGCAGAAATATATATAATACATATTTGGCGGACAGAATGGGCAGAAACTAGTGAAATACCAAAATAAAAAACAACAGCCTTTCCCCTCGGTCTAATATGGGGAACCCTCTGGGTTTCCATCTCCCCGTCGTTTGATGTATGATCATGAAGAGAAGCTCCTTAGAACAAGGAATCAAAGATTCACCCCTTCCACACACTCTCCCGGCACCATCACTACCTCCCTTCTCTGCCCCCAGCACCTCACAGAGTCCTCTTAATCCTGGTCTCCCATCCTCACCCAGGTATGTCTTCTTCGCTCCCGGCCACAACTGACGACTCAATACCAGGAGAAATGAGCTTTTTTCAGCGCGACTGCCTATACCACCACGCAACGGGCAACAAGTGTGACCAGGGTCACCATGCGTCCTGCCCGTCGGCTACTCCCAAGAGCTGACCCTCCTCCTCCTTCGGAAACTCCCCCCAAGTGTCCCAAACCCATACCCAAGGCAGATGCAAAACCCCTAGGCACCAGCGGGAGAGTGGGGAGAAGCAGCCAGGAGAGGGTCCGGGGATAGATTTGCCTCCAACCCCAGATTATGACCCAACACCTTGGACGGGAAACGAAGGTGGAAAACGTCCGCTTGCTGCCGGCGGGGCTTTTGCAGCCCTCCCCGGACTGGTTGGGGCTGAAAGCCCGCGGCGGGAGGTGGGGAAGAGGGTACCTGGGGGTCTCACCTTTTCCTGCTCTATGGCCGGGTCTCTCCCGCGAGGCGCTGGGAAGCATGAGGCATGCAGCATTCACAATGTTTTGGGGTTTTTTTGTTTTTGTTTTTGTTTTTTGGGTTTTTTTTTTTGAAAAAGACGGACTTGAAGCTTTTACAAACACGCCATTGTACTCACTTATTCAGAGACGGGCTGCGCGCTCCGAGCTGCATGGGCAGGCATTTTCCCCGGCTTTGTTTTACAAGGTGGGGAGAGCGGGGCTGGACGCGGGAGGGAGGGTGGGGGGAGCGTGAGAAGAAACGGAATCGCGGGAAGGAGGGGACACCGGCGGGCCGGGCAGAGGGCGAGGGCGAGGCCAAGTTGGGCTGGGGCGCCGCCGCCCCCGCGCGCGCCTGCGGCCGGGCCCGGGTCACCAGGAGAGCGCCGGCCACCCGGGTCCCGCGCCGGCCAGCAGCCGCCGCCGCCGCCGCGCTCTCCGCCCCGGGCTCCGCGCTGGCCGGGCCCCTGCGCTGCGCGGCGCGGGGGTGGTGGGTGCAGCCCGAGCCGCAGTGCGCCCCGGCGTCTTTGTGCGCGAGCCTCGCTCAGCCCCTCTTCGCATGTCTTTGTGCGTCTCCCAGGCAGAGCCCTCCGTGCCCCGGGGGTGGAGGTGGGGTGGAGGTGGCACGGTCTCAGCGCGCCCGGCGCCCTCCAGCCCGCAGCTCGGCCGCCCCCCGCCGCTCTCCCTTCCAGGCTCGCTCCTCTCGCCCCTCGCTAGTTCCTTTCCCTCCTTTCGGAACTCCCTCCCCTTCGCACCCCTCCCACACCCCACCCCGTCTCACCGCCTGGGCTCTCCTCGCCGCACCTCCTGCGAGCCCAACCCTCGCCTGCGTCTCCCTCGCCTCTTCCAAACTACCCCTCAAGCCGCCTCCCCGCCTGGGGGCATAGCCATTGGATTCACCTGCTGTCTCTCCTTCTTTCGGCCCCTTCCACTAACCCTGCCCCCTCCCTAGATCCTCACTCACTTTATCGGGCATAATTGGCTCCAGCCCATCTCCTTTCAAGTCGGGTCGCGGGGGTGTGGGACCGACCTTTGGGGAGCGGGTTCCTGGACCCCAGCACGTGGGCATCCTGCCCTCCCTCCGACCCCCCCCCCGCCCCAGGGTTGTACAGAGACGTACACCTGAAACCCTTGCAGTGGAGGCGGTAATGAGGATGCTGATTTCTTCCAGTTTGCGCTTGGATAAGGGTTATCAAGTCACCACCAACCACCACCCCATCTCCAAGGGTGCTCGACCTAGGCAGCTAGCTCTGATGGGCAGAGTGTTGCACGAATGGGGAAAGCACCGGGAGCCAAGGTGAAGACATTTAGGGAGGCAAAGGAAACGGAAGAAAAATCTATTCGTTCCCAGGGCGAGACCCCTTTTGCTGGGAACAGAGGTTGCGAATGTGGTCGGTAAAGCAGCGGGGTGCGAGACCTCAGACCTCAGTCTGAACTCGGCGCTCCCCGCACACCTCCGCATCAGGATCCCAGCTTGGCAGGTACCAGACTCCGCCCAGACTAGCAGACGGCCGCGTGGGGACAGCTGAACTCCTGGCGACCCCGGTGCGGGAACCGAACCCGCAGAGGAAGGGGAGAAAGCGCACAGAGAACGGGCTGCAGCTGTAATGAGCGAGTCTTCTCACCGCACACATGATATAGTGGAACTTCAGCTGGTTTGTAAACTCTTTTCTTCCTTCCCACTTTCGCAGTGGAATCCCCTGCTGACCTCCACCCTCCCACCTCCACCGCTGTGTGAGTTTATCTTCCAGAACTGCTGCTCGGTCAGACTGGAGTATTTCCCCACTTACCAGGAGAATTCCGTAGCGAAAGCTATAGACGTGAAGGAGGTAAGGTAGAACAGAAAGACTGTCGATTGTAAAAAGAACGTTGTAAACCTTTCGCAAGGCTGTGGCCGTCTACGATTTGAAATGCCAAATTACTTTCTAAATTCCAGAATAGGTTCAGCCGGCTGTCTCCTTCTTTCTCCTGTTAAAAATGTCCTCCTTATTAGGAATTCCTTCCTGCTGGAATTGAAACATGTTTTTCTCGACTTCTGCTCTCAATAATAGTATAATCGGATGTCCTTTCTCAAATGTGAATGCTGACTTAAAACCCTTCTAGACTCTCTGGGTCACAGGTAATATGCTTCCTGATCTGGCTTCTCTTTTTCATTCCTGGTCCTCCTGGCTACTGTCATCTTCCCTCACACACCTTCCGCAGTCCTCTCCCCAATTTTACATGACTAAGACACTGCATCAGTAGGGTTCTCCAGAGAAACAGAACAGATAAGATGTTTTCGTGTGTATATAAATTTTATTTTAAGGAATTGACTCAACACAACCACGGGGGCTGTAGAGTCCATCTGAAATCCCCAGGGTAGTTCTGGAAAATCCGGCAAGAGTTAATGCTTCAGTCTTGAATTTCTTTTCTGGGAAACCTCAGTGTTTGTTCATAAGACCTTCAACTGATTATATGTGCCCTACCCACATCATCAAGGGTGATCTTTCCTTAAAGTCCGACTGTAGATGTTAACCACATCTACAAAATACCTCCACAGCAACACCTAGGTCAGTGTCTTATTAGATAATTGGGTGCTATAGCCTAGCCAAGTTGACACATCAAACTAACCATCACAGGTATTATCTTCCAGATCCCCCAGCAGTTAAAAGTTTCTCGTAAATCCTTTCATTATTTGCTTCCCAGGACAACTTATGCTTCTATTTTTGCACTTGTCACATTGTGTTGTGCTTCTTTAAACTAGACTGTAAGCTCAGTTAGGGCATAAACCATGTCTTTCTGTTCCCCATAGTATCCACAGTAACCAGTGACTAGCGCTAAATACATGTTTGATAAACATCTGAATGAAAGTGAGATGGCAGACATCATTTATCTGGCCTCCTTCTAGATATTTGGAACTAGGTATCTTACATTTATAGGAAATGAGATAAATCCACCACTTACAGAATCATTTTCTACCCAATCACAGGCTTTTTGTTCTCTGAGTAAAATGATCCCAAACACTTTGAGTATTCTTTTTTTTTTCACTTTTCCCCTTTTGCTCGGTGATTCTCTTTTGTTCCATCTGGGTCTTTTGCAAATTTAGCCACACCTTGCTAAGCACTGGTCCTCTGTCCAACTGGCTAATACTTACTGAAGTGTGGGATTAACTCATAGTTTAAATATGCCTGTATGGTGCATCCCTTCCTCATGGGATGTAAGAACTCACCACCAATCCCAAATGCTGATCTGCCATTTTCCCTCCTTTTCTCTATCAAGTTATGTGCGGCAGTGGTCCTCCATGTTCCCCTTGCATTATTCTCACATTAGGCACACATATATGTAGAGGGCTGAGAGTAGGGGGCCACGGATTTACTTTACAGAGACATTAAAATAAGATTTGAAAAAGAAACAAAATTCCAAACTGTAGCATTAGCAGGAATCATTCCAACAAGCTAGCCTCAACCTCACAAATTATTCAAAAGAACCAAGAAACTAGTTCCCACACTGACTCTAGCCCTGCTTTCTACTGCAGCCGCCCACAGCCCCTTCAATTTAAAGACCCCTACCCCTTTAAGAGCCACCTTGCACTTACTCACTGTGTTTCAAGTAAGAGGGAAAAAAGGGGATAGACTAATTTGTGTATCGTTGCAACTGGAGAAACAAGGAAATGGGATGGTTTATCCTGTTTAATTTTATGTCTGCATTTCTCATACATATAAATCCCACCAAACTGTCATAGAAAAATAGATGGACTCTATTTCTTTCATGCTGCCAGACCCAGGCTACTCAACACACATTAACTTTATTTTAATGGACAGGAAAACCTGAAATATGTAATAAAAAGATTTAGCGCCCCCAAATTCTATACTCCCCTCCTTCCAGTTCTTTCAGAGTTGCTGTTATGCTCCAACCAGCAGCAAGAAATTTACAGGACTTCACTTTCATGTTCAGTTTCTTTTTTGACCGTGGCCTACTCATAGTTAAAACAAAAAGTAAACAAAAAAAGAGCATGCCACTGTCTTTTCCATAATTCCATTCACACCTAGAATTTTGGAGTTAAGGTGACTTCTGTGGGTATCCTAACTCTGCCATTTGTGAACAATGTTGAGTTTGAGGGAGTCCCTTTGTCTCTCTGACCATCACTTTCATCGTCTGCAAAACAGGGATACTACACTGAACCCACAAGAGATTGTTGTAAGAATTAAACACATATGTGTTTAACGTTGTAGGTCCTCAAAAGAATTTCATTCTCTCTTGTGCTTGACCTAACCCAACGAACCAGGGGGCTCCCAGCCTAGCAAGACCACCAACAAATTCCAACTCTATAATAAATCTTGGCATTTATTTAATCTTCTGGATAACACAATTGCACAGGTCTAAGATGAGGAAGAATGGATCACTTTTGTCAAATACCTATTGAGTGCCTACCCAGTACCAAACAGGAGCTCTGTGGATATAGCAAGGTTGCTGCCTTCATTAAGCTTATGGTCTAGAGAGGGAAGGTGCTAAACAAACCTAAAATTAAAATTCTAATCAATGCAATAAGTAGAAGGTACAGATTACAAGAGTATATAACGTTGGAGGGTCCGGCAGGCCTGTCAAAAGAAGTGACATTACAGTTGAGCCCTGAAGATGAGCGTGGGTGGAGAGGAAGAGGCATAATGTAAGGAAAGAGCTTCCTCGGGCGAAGGAAGAACGTGTGGCAGGAAGAAGTTTGGAGAATTTGGGGAGCTCAGAGAGTGAGGAGTGGTGATAGACAGTGATCAAGCTAGAAAGGCAGGCAGAGACCAGGTCATAAGGCCTTGGATTTAGTTAATGGGACTTTGATGAATTTTCAGCAGAGCACTAACTTCATCAGATGACATTTAAAAGAAATCACTCTGGTTGCTACATGGAGAACAGACAGAAGGTGAACACAAATGAAAGCACGTTTAGATGCTATTGCTTTAGTCCAGGTGAGAGATTCATGGTGACTTGTATGGGAGTGGAAGAGAGGATATGAGAGGTGGGAGCAGTAGATCATCAGGCCTCTGTGATCCACC